TGAAGTAATTCCTCGGTTATTAACTTTCTTATTCAGGAGAGTGGGCAAGGCATTCATAATCTCTTGCATCATGCGGAATCGCAATGCACTTATTAGCTTAAATTATGTCTATGAAATCGGAATACTGTAGCAATTAGATCTTCCCTCAAAATAAAGGCCACTTAAAACACAAGTTCACAACAATGCTACATATCATGACCATAGCGCTAATGCTTTTTTTAAGTGAAAAGCTGACTGTTATGAATACATGGAAAATGAAATTGAGCTATGAATACTAACAAATACCAAATCAATTAAGACAACAGCGTCTGACTAAATAGGCAGAATATACTAGTATGATTCCAAAAAAATTCAAAAATATACGTTTAAATTTTGAACTTCCTACATCATTCAATCCATCACACTGAGCAGATTGCAGTATCAAGCGACATTTCCTAATACAATTGCAGCAAACGTAACGCAGTCCAAATACATTATGCCGCCGTCATTACATACATCAGAAAAGCTTTGAATAAAAAAACTTCATTCAAAAACCATATAAAAACATAACTTGTTACTAAACCAACATAACAACGGACATCAACGTTACGATTAGAGGGGATATGCAATAAAGCCTCTCCACTACAACATGGTATGCTGCGGCTGTAACGACAGAAGGCAAGAGTTAGGCAACAGATCATTTATTAAGGAAATCAATGCATATTTATATACGTTTTCATGTACATTACTATGGATACGTAAACAAACAAACACAGTCTTCCGATTGGTTGTTTCTCACGACAAATCTTGGGAACGTAAATATTGACGTAAATTACTGTCTACCAATTTGGCTAGTAGACAGCTCTCACCACACGGCCACTCAGATGTAGCAAGCGATTAAGGAGCTCAGAAGGATGGGACGAGTAGCCAAGTAGGAACTATGTTTTCCTTATGATTTTCAAGACTGTCTGTGCATACTTCTCGTGTTGGACTATTTTTCCCCAGGTTGACTTGCTCCCTATTGTGCTTCCGAAATGGAGGTTTGAAAACACTATTAGTCTTCTGCAATATTGCTATCTATCGATCGGTAATTTGAATAATTATCTTGATACCCATTTAGATGGGTGGCAGTAGTTTGGAGGTTTGCCATGATATTTTCCACACGTCTTATTGAACGTTGCACCAAACTATGCTGTTTGGAGCATCTTCCACTGTGGGCGTGCTGCCTAAAATAATTTATGCGCAACAAGCTTTTGACGTCTCCTTGGGGATTTTGGTTACGAGAGCAATGGAATGGCCCGCAAAGAGAAGAGGTGAAGATTATCGTGAGATGGTACAGATGTCTTGAAATGAAATAGTAAAAGCGGAATATGGACAAATTTTGAAGACCAGGTTTCAAATTTAGCGATTTTTGTTTCGTTGTCTCTACATTCCATTTCGCCAAGTGCCGCCACTAAAAGTGGTGTCCCTACCTTTGATAAGGTGAGCAGTACTTGAAGAGGGAGAAATCCAAGGCTACCTGCAGGATTTTTAGGCCTAAGCTGAAATCGTGAACCCTCATGAGCCAACGATAGTGCTGCTTCTGGAAACGCCACCAAGAATTTAGGTGAAGGCTTCAGATGGGAAGGAGACTTCCCAGTCGCTGACACAACAACTGGCGGCGGAGTATGAGACCTTAGCAAAGGGAAAGTAATGTTGACTCTGAAGCCGATTGGACTACCCCGCTCCGTCCTTCAAACTTCTAAGGAACAGTTCCAGGCGCAGTTGTCATTGTCAAATTTCATCGAGTGTCCCGGATGCCATTTTCCATGAAGTAAAGCTAGCAAGTGAGGAACAATTCATGGAGGGTGGTGACCCAGTGAACATATCCAGAAAAGTACTGGGTAGAAAGATCATTGCAACAGAACTTCAAATTTAGATAGTAAACCCACGAATCGCAGTGGAAGGTTGACTCCACGAATCAGTGTGAGTCAAGGTCGATGCCTAGCATGCGCTAAGCCGAAACACCACATAGACTTCCATATCACCAAAGAGACAAAAGTGAGCCACTAGCATGAGGGATTCCAAATGACTATTAGACAGGCAACTCGCAGAAGATGTTCGACTGCATTACACGGCTTATGGAATGCTAAAATTGACTTTAAAACTACCTACACTTGGAGAAATTCCAAGGTGTCTACGGATGCGTGTGACTGGAATAGATATATTACCATGATAGAGTGGGGAGTCATTGTGAGGGGTCTCTTGAATAATTATTTTGGTTGGAGGATTCCATCATGACCTGACATCAGATAGAAAACCATTGGAAAGCCAACAGGGAGTACTGGACTCTTCATCATCACGCACCCACCGCCAGGGTTGGAACTCAGAACCTTCTGGCCACAAGGCGAACTCGTTGACCATTGAGCCACTGGGACCCGATCCAATCACCACCCATGAAATCTAACTTCTGCCAATTCATGACATAGCGCAACCACTTCGCAGTTTTTTCTTCAATGAGTTACTGCCTCACCTTCAACATGCTGCACCCTACTGGTCACGGCTTCCCACTAGAACTCCAAGTTAACTGCCCGAATAGGGCCAGTCGCCGGTAGGTCGTGTTGATGAAGAGTCCTAAAGTAGGACGTAACGGTCGTCCAGTACTCCCAGGTTTTCCAATGGCTCTCTAACTGATGTCAGCTCAGGATGAAATCCTCCATGCAATCAAACAAAATCCCTGCAAAACCAGTCATTGAAAGTAATTATTTTGAAGGAAATGTCAGCCTTCAAAGTCGAATCTTCCAGCCGCGTAACGAAACGAATGAAAGTACCTAACGGCAGAGAGATAGTGTTTAGCAATAATGTGGACATAAGATAGACAGTGACTCCATCCGTAAAAAATTTTATATTTGTAAAGTCTCAGCGAGATGGAAATGAGTAATTCCAACGTTTCGTTCGGCAATCTGGTCCGAACTTCTTCAGGGAAATTAATCGAAATTAACATTACATAGGTTTATATATAAAAAGGAACATCATTTGTTTCTAAAAATTTGTCCAATCATGAATCATTCAAAAGTACCATTAAGTATAATAAACAAAATATTTATGAGCTATGATCAAAATTTGACCTCGGACTTACAAATATCGGTCTACCTTTGTTAAACACTTTAAACAGAGTGTGTATGTGTGTGTGGGTAAACAGTTGCAAAACATTTCTTAACGTTTCCATTAGAAGATATGGACAGTCGAGAATTTTGAACAAGTATTAATAATTAGTGATACATATCCATTTTTATTTATTAATAAGGATTTTTTTACAAATGTCTACTTCTCACTCGGCGCCCAAATATTTCAGAACTATTCTGTCAAATCTTGACGACAGTTCATTTGAAGTGACTCCATCTACTTGGCCAACGATTCCGCATAGAAAATAACTGTAAGCCTTTGGAATGGCTGCAGACAGTGAGATGCAGAATTAGGAAACTCTCAGGATGGGTATTACATCCACAAGAGAACGATTTCACACGTCTCAGTGAATGACCGGGAAAACGAGGCTGGTTTACCCGAGATAGCGAATTCAGTACACGGTCAGCTACCGGCTTTCCATAGGTCTGTTTACTTCCATTCAATTAGCGATCGCCTTGGTCACCACACCCAGGATAGTGTCCGACTCTTGACAGCAAATGATTCTTAATGGGTCTTGTTTTAAACCATATTAATCAGGCCGAATGATCGATTGAAATAGGGCCTTTGCAGAACTTCGATATGGCGAGAGAGTGACTGGAGTCGGCTGGTGGTCTTACCCCAGCCCCAACGCCATGAGCTCACACAGGAATGTCAACAAGCACACACAGGTGTTGCCGGAGCAACAGGCCTCTTGAGACAAAGTTGGGTCGGTGGCACAGTGGTTCGAACTCTCGCAGACCATGCACATGGTCCGGGGTTCGATCCCCTGCCGACGCACACCCGATATCTATGGTCGGCCTGTAAAATTTGGGCTACCGATATCCATGCTGAAAATTCCATACTTGTACTGAAAATACGGTGTGGCATCAAGCTGTAATCAAAAATTAAAAAGGTACTGGCTGGGCATGAGACATGTTACTAATAAAGTGCGTGGCCGTCCAAAGCGCTCAGTGATAAAAGGTGATTATCACATTATGTCGTCTTTGCAGTCCACCCTAATTGCATGAGCAGGTAATTTGTGGGCCACGGATGTTATGTGACTTTTTCCGCAGACACTTACTGACAATCGGCTGCTTGTGAGGAACAAGGACTCCACATTACTAGTGGAGGTAGATGCTATCCCAGATGAAGAAGTAAAGACTGTCACTGCTTTGATGACTGAACATATCGTTGCAATCCACACAGTACCAAAAATATGAAGTCATTTAGGTGGAATGATATGATTATTAGGAGTAAGTTGTTTTCAAGACGTCACTCAGATATTTATACTATATAGATGAGTGCTATGACAGGAAAGCTAACCTTACGTGGAATTAAATACATGGTACCTGAAACCACAAGATTAGATGCTGGCATCTGAACATACTTTACAGAACTCCAATTCAACCACAGATTTCTATGGGTTAGATTCAGGAAGCGTTTGTAATGTTGAGGAAATGTCATAAGCTACCTACTCATAGCATGCCTTACTAAAAGTAGCTGGCTTAACTACCCAACAACTCAGTACTCTACCCAACTTGTACTCAATGGAAACAGCACTCATTTCAAAAAGACAGTTAAATATTGATGTTTTCTGATGAGCAGTACATTTGAATGTAACAAAAGGTTAAGAATATTCGAGGAAAGGGATTTATTATTAATTTAACTATTATAGTCGAATAACAAATTCCGAGAATGTGCGCGTTAACAGCACAACGGGAGAGATCAGAATGGTGTTCGAGCCAGTCCAGATGTGTACCCGTTAAAACAAAAACTGAAAACACCGGAGGGTGGACAAAAGAAATAGCACTTCGGAATTTGTTGCATGTTGGTGCAGACTGGTATTCCAATTGTTGTACTAGTCCATTTAGCTTGTAGTAACTCCTTGTAGGTAAGAACCTGCATTTGAACTTTGTGTATATTTTGTTTTGACGTATCAACAATTACGCTGCCCATTAAATTTAAACTCTTTCATGGTAGGCACGTTTTGTTGTGAATACTTCTAACTGTTAGTCTTTTTATGTATAACGTTACATATTATTTAAAATTTTGAGTTTCATTTCACATACTTTCGCACATTTATTCAGTGAGATTTCTAGACAATAATTATGTTGCTGTCGCTTATCGGCGATATTCGGAACGTTCTGTGTTGTCTTAGCTTACTAAAGATGTAGATCGTCCTGCAGTCCGGTGGTTTCTTGAAAAGATATGTCCTAACAAAGACGCTAACCCAACAACACAACTCCGTTACCCGGAATTTTACAGTATTAGGACTAACAGGATGCAAATATAAACATTTGGATGATAAAAGATAGTAGGCTTTTGTAGCCTGTGTCAATTCTCGCAGTATGCGTCACTGTGGAGGTCCGATTCCCCAGCAAATTGTTTATACGTGGAGCCTGCACCACTCAGTCTCACAAGGAATTCCAGACGTTGACTAACAACGGTTTGAGCACTCTTGTGATGATTCCGGAGGTATTCTTAAAAGACAGGAAGAGTTTTTAAGATTTGAACCGTAATAGCCATTTACTTAAACGGTAATTTGGAATCGATTCACTTCATCGGTGTAATAGTGAAGAAAGGCTTAGAAGTTCCACCCAATTCCCGTATAGTGGTGTAAAATACTGACGCATCCAAGCGTCTAAATGCCTTTCGAATTATGTTTAGCGTTCAGAAAGTCGTAGCTGCCACTGTATTACAACATGTAGCTATCCCCTCAAGTTATTTTTAATATTGATTCCTAAATCCTTTTGTTCCTTAACATCACCCGGTTCTGATTCCGCCATGGGAACACAATGACACCAAATTGTTCGGGTGTAAGCAAGTCACGGTCGTCCACAATGTTAAGGTGGAGGTTCTGCTATTATTTTACCACCTCTTGGCTTTACTGAATAAGTTGAGTATCTAAAACCGCCACCTACTTTTGCTTTTAAGATCCCAGCTCTAGCGAGAGCGAGACAAGAAACTTTACTCCACTTCTCAGTTAATTACGTACCCTTTAGTCATTGAAGTGCGTTTTTTGACAGAGACTGTATTGTCTGTTATATGTTTAACTTCCACATTTTTGTCACTTAAAATTATGGTTTATGTGTGACTTTGGAACCGTTTTCACTGGTCCTTTGTGAAGTGCTGCGATGAACTAATCTTAGCATTGCATGCAACACCCTAATTCGCAACCCACAACTGCACATTTATTTTTATATTTTTATTTATTTATTTATTATTTTGATTACAGCTTGATGCCACATCGTATTTTCAGTACAAGTATGGAATTTTCAGCATGGATATCGGTAGCCCAAATTTTACAGGCCGACCATAGATATCGGGTGTGCGTCGGCAGGGGATCGAACCCCGGACCATGTGCATGGTCTGCGAGAGTTCGAACCACTGTGCCACCGACGCACATTGTTGGATGTTAAATAATAAGCAGATCTGGATAGGATACTGAGAAATCTGCATGTCTGCAGTTAATCGGAAACGCCTATCCTGGAACTCAGGATAAATTCTCTACTAGTTAACTATAAGACATTTCGCATACCCGTTGCCAAGTTTTTGTCGTACCAGCGCCATAGTTGTATCAAATTGTGCTTCTTGATCTAAATAAATGAAAAGTGATATCTTTTCATCTCCGATGGGCTATATTAAAAATAAAGTTGGTAAGGAAGCACTATCCACTAACTGACTCAGTAGAGTCGTACAAATGGTCAGGTGTAAGCAACTAACTGTAAACTAGATGAATTCCTGAGAACCCAAATGTGTTGGTTAGTTTCTCTCAGAAACATCGGGAACGTTTGTCCAGGAAGTTCAGACAGCTAAGTGCAGCTTCTCTTAGTCCAATGCATGGTGTTCCCTGACCTGTTGATACCTACCTACTTAGAGCGATGAAAGTCCTAACTAGATTTAGTTGCTGAAGTAGTATAAAGCGCGTAACCAAGCGAACTTCTGTGATCTCGATCGATGGGGTTTAGACTGGTTGAAAAGATGTGCTTAAATGTCCCATCACTGAAATTAAAGGAATTGATTGGTAAAAAGCCATGATTTTCACAGTTTCAATTGCTTCTTGTACCAAGTGCCGTGACACTACGTTTAATTTAGGTGGCTTTGCAATTATTAGGAAGAATCCTGCTCCTGGGTGACCGATCAGTATGACTTACCCGTTAGTCGAAAAGCCTGTTCATCAAGCTTGTTCAGTCAATATCTTCCTTTTACTGATATCATTTTGGTAGATAACGCCTGTGAATTCTAAAGTGTTTGCTGACTTTGACACAAACAAGGAAAAAAATTAAACGGGGTCAACTTATGATGAAGTAAGCGATAGTTATTTTAAGCTACCATATATTGGTGCTTTGTCACTGTGTGATCTAATAACATTGGTTATGGCTCGGTACCAAGACTTTTATGACTCTTCTCTGCCTTTTCCGTCATCATTATTTAAAGTAGCACCTGCCTTTATGTTTTTGTTCTGCCAAGTTAGTTTCAACAATGACAATCCGTTTACGGGTAGTACATATTTGTTCTTACCCATCAAACGGTTGTAATTTATCCCTTGTTAAAATATATTTTTAGTAACAGGGTTCAGAATTGACTGTTATAATGGAGATGCCTGTACATACGATCCTCTAATCTTGAGAAAGTATTTTTTTAAAACCGTATCTCTTTAGAATTCTTGGGTCTTTTATCGTTACTAATGTCTCAGTTTACATTTTTCTTTCCTTAAATTTGCGGTGTGTGATGGTAACCTCATAGCGCGACTCTTATGCCCGATTGCTTATTTATGTTATTGTGCATGCGTCATTGTTTAGCTAGCATAACTAAACGATTTTTTAATATCTTTTGCAGCACAAATCACTTTCTTCTGAAATCGGACAGAACTGAGAAATTTCTGCAGCACTCATCATCAGTGATCCATCACACACTTTTCAATAAATTTTGTTTTGCCGATAGAATATGTCTGCTCGATCCAAAAAACAAAAAGGTTCAGAAGCTGAGAAAAATGACGGCAGTCCAACATCCTCCTATTCAAGATCTGTTACCATAGAACGTAGTCATACATCGTCATCCGGTGGAACACCTCGTAAAAGCGCTTCGCGTAGTGAACGGTCTAGCAGTCCATTAACTATTAGTCGATCGGAAGAAAAAGATGAACTTGCCCATCTGAATGATCGTCTAGCAGGTTATATTGACTATGTCAGAAAATTAGAGCTTGACAAACAAAAACTTACACGTCGTATACAAACTGTTACAGAAGAGCGTATGGTAAGTGATTGATTGCAATTTTTGTGGCTAACTAAACTTTTCTTTCTTAGAGTAAAGTTGAAGAAGCCAGAAAAACCTATGAAGATGAAATTACAGCGCTTAGAAATTTAGTTGATGATCTAGCTAAACAAAAATCGAAAGCAGAACTTGATGCAAAACAATTGAGAGATGAATTGAATGATATGAAATCGAAGGCGAATAAAAGAGAATTAGAAAATCGTAATTTACAAAGAAAAGTGGAGAGTCTTGAAAGAGAATTAAGCAAATACAAACAAGATCATGATGCCTATCAGGTAATTTATATTGTGGTCATTTAAAAAAATAATTAATATACAACTTTATAGCCACTTCTTAGTGACTATCATGTTCTAGAGAAAAGATTTGAAGAGATGAAACGAGATTTAGAAGCTGAAACTTTACTACGCACGGATTTAGAAAATAAAATTCTTGGACTTAAAGAACAATTGGATTTCCGTTCTCGTCTATTCGATGAAGTGAGTCTACTTTACTTTTTAAAAAAACTATATTTCTTTCTAGGAACGTGAAAAATTAGTTGAACGTAGTATGTATATTGAAGAAGAAGTTGAAGGCCGAAAACAAGCAGAATACGAAAGTCGGCTGGCCGATGAACTCAGATCAATTCGAGATCAGACAGCAAGTGAATTAGAAGAGTATAAGATACAAATGGAAGAAACATTTGAGGTGAGTTTTTACAGACACCCCCCCCCAAATAATGAGATACGGATTGTATTCCGTATTTTACTGTTATACTTTTCCTAGAAGCCTATTTCATGTATTTCTCTTACTTGTAGAGTTAACCTTTGATATATCTTGTTTATCTAAAGCACAAGTTAGGAGATAACTTAAGTTGACAGACTCCGTCTTATACTCAAGATAAGCCTTTTTTTGTTCCTTGGCGTTCTGAGTGGAACATAGGGCTTCAAGCTAGAGTTTAATTGGTGGATGGTGACTAGCAGTGGAATCCAGGATGCACGTTTCGTCCTATTTGGGACTCGTCATCCGGATGTACCTGCATTTCCCAGTGAGTGATGATGTTCCCACCGAAGCTGGAACCCAGTGTCCATAGTTTCAAACGCTAAAGCGTTATCCACTAGACCACTTGGGCCACGAGAGCCACCTCTTGTGCAACGGTTCATATTAATTATTTAATTGAATTTTAGATATTCCCGTCGATTGATTAGACCGAAGTTCTCGGTCTCAGATTGACATGTCGGCTTCTTGTGTAGATGCTTCGACGATATCTGGGCATTTAATTAGATGTTTCAAAGTGGTAACTGAGACTTTCATATTTAGTTTAGTCGGCTATCAAGTACATCTTTATCTAACATAGTCTACCTGAACTAGGAGACACTGTCAAGGCGATGGGAGCACGGGGAGCAGCTTCGCTTGTAAAGAAGTAGGAGAGAGTATATACTGATCGACCAACCGACACGATATTAGCACACATAAGGAAGAACACGAAGCCTGAAAGTGGGGCATAAAATGTATTACTACAACATGAAGTACAGACTTAGGTGAAAAGACTAAAGGCACAAGTTCAGTGTCTTATCATTTATGTTCATTCTGTCTACATCGTTCAGTAATTGGTCCACTGCATTCATATGGTCCGTATCCCCAAGAAATGCCAGTATATCACAATTATGAAGTATGCGTAGTAGTGTCACAAGTATCACCCCCTCTTGAAAGACAGCACTGTTAGAGTGCCTATACGCAGAATAGGATAAGACAGCCCTCCGTCTACTGGGACTTAACATTTGGCCACCACCGACAGGTTGTTAGAAGTTGATGGAGTTGGGTAGTGCGCCGACTTAAAAGGATCATTAAAGCACCGTCAGTATTTATTTTGGCCTCTGCAGATGTCGTGTAATAAAAGTGACGGGAAAACATTTGCAGATGACCTCGTAAAGTCTCTGCCATGGAATAGTAAACCTGCTGGACTGTTCTTGCATGACATGTGACCGGTGTAACTAAACGCAGTTCCCCAGATTATAGGTATCTCTGTAGACTAGTCTATCATGGTTCCCTTTGTGGTCATAACTCACGGGCTGTGCATATTCGCGTGCTATTTATTTCCATATGTGACTTCTATATTCTCCCGAAGCTTCGTTGGGTATTAGTTTCTCAAGTGTTACAACATAAAAGCAAACGTCTACATGCGTTAAACAAGTGTTTATTATAACATTGAGTATATTTTCCATCCAACTGTTCGATCACAAATGAACCTAACCATGACTTCGGAACTTGGTGGTGTATAAGGTGTGATCGAAAACATCGTGGAAAAGATTTATCATAACCTTTTTTGCTTCCCTAATTTAGATTACTAATGTAACTATGAAAAGGTTTACTAACCATTTGCTTTCTACTATAGAACAAGCTTGGACAGCTGAAGTCATCAGCTAATTTCAGTGCTGAAGATGCTACTCGTCAACGAACTGAACTGTTGATAGCTCGAAAGAGAGCGGATGATCTTTCTCATGATTTATCCAAAAAAATTGCCGAGCTCGATCTGCTTCAACGAAGAGTTGCTGATCTCGAACGACAATTGGCTGATGAAAGGCGTGACTTTGAATCTCAGCTACTTTTCCAACGTCAAGAGGTAAATCGATTGAAAGAAGAACTAGAGGAGAGTTTCCGTGAATTCACTGATCTTATGAACACGAAAATTGCATTGGATCAAGAAATACTAATGTATCGAAAAATGTTAGAGGGTGAAGAATCCAGGTTAGCTAATAATTTCTTTATTTTTTTTTTCCGATTTAAGATTGTTGATTGCATAGCCAGCACTTTAATTAATGTTGTAGTCTATTGATTTGTCTCTTTTTTACGACTAAGTATAAACGAGATGTTTTGATGCACGTCATTTTATGCCAGCTTGTTATTGGGCTAGTCCACTTGTCTGTCTGTCTGTTTTCAACATAGAACTTTGCACTGATGTGCAGCAGTTCAAGTCGCCACACCCTCCATGTAGTACACAAAGCAAGAGAAGAAAGTAAAAAGAAATGCAAAATAGAGACAGTAAACAGAGATATGAGGCAAAGAGAATAGTAGTATTGAAGAACAATGCAGTTTCACTGGAAATTATAAGTCACAAAGAGTGGATGCATCTGCGCTGTCGTTAAGAATGATTTTGAGCCAGCCATATCACCAATTGTCTCCAGTCTTCATTGGTGTTTACCGTCCCGAGGACCCCAACCAGTCAGGAAGTCTATACCTTCCGACGTGGCTTCAATTGACTTGTGAATTTAATTGACTGATGAAACCATGTTCTGGTTTGACCACCACGTACTAGCTCTTTTCCAACCTGATGCTGTGTCAGCTAACACTGACCGTCGACGAAAGCAATGGTTAGGGATGAATGCGTAACATGTGTCCTAACCATCTCTTACGATGTAGCTTCACAGCCTCATCTATTGATTTCCCCTCCTTATCTACCACTTGACCGACGCCTAACCTCAATATTGCTCACCTTATTATACCACTTCACTTGGGAGACAGAACGCAGACACCTATGATCAAAGACAGACAATTAACCTTTTTATGTCTTCCACTCAATGCCCAGGTCTCACAGCCATAAGAGGTCCGCTTGATTAAGCACTTAACCATCACAGATCCTCTCTGCTTCTTAGAATGAATATACTTCATAATTTGCAGTACACGATATTTGAGCTGCATTATTTCATATAAATTATGTCTACCGTGGACACATCTGGTTTTAAATACGTTGCGTTACATATCACACATGTTGACTAACTCATCTTTCATCTCTTTCATACCTTCATCCGCAACTAATGTGGATTTCTTATGAAAATACATGCACAAAGAACACAGCTTATTGGTTTAAGCAGTAGACTGTCGGCTAATGGGTATCAGCGCCGAAGTAGGCTCCAGCCACTTCAGTCTGTCTAGCCGAGTAGTATCAGCTCTCACACGATCGATAACTAATCAATTAATTGGTTCAATTTTACTCCTTTGCGTTCCGGGATATGACTTCAACAGCACGACTCCGTTCCCTGCAGTCCTCTTTACTTGGCTCCATTATTTCCCACTAGCTTTCATCTCCTCACACAATCTTATCCTTGTCACTCTTGGATGTCCGACTCACCGTTTACTATTCAGCAGTTTCCACCCTGGAACTTTTCTCCAACTCATCTTCACTGAAGGCGGCTGCTGGGAATGCTTTTCGTGACGCGGCAACTTTCTGACCCATATCGAAGAACTGACTGACTTAACATTACTATTGGAAATCCTAATGTTGTTCCTTATGTTGAGTGCAGTAGATTTCCGAACTGATTTTAGAGCGATAAAGGTTTGTCTTGCCTTTCCGATCCTGTGTGACTTCAACATCCTCATTTGTGTCTCTGTCTGTTGTTGAGACGATACTGCCTGAACAAGTAAACGAAGTAACTTCTTTCAAATGTCTTCCGGTGATAGAGATTGGTGCTTGCTGTTGCTAGTCAGTTAATGGGTATATTCATCACCTTTAACTTCTTTATAGGTTCATTTAAGGTTCTCTCTTTTTGCTTCTACTATCACAACTTGTTGTTTTTCACATGTAGGTCTTTCTGTGTTTGTGTGATATCCGCCAAGCTGTGATCTCCTAGAGTCTTCTTCTTATCGGTGGTCCAGCGTATTCCTGTCTTCTGTCTCCCCACAGTCAGTCAGTCAGTCAGTCACACAGTCCAATCCACCACAATTAAGAATGTCATCGGTGATGGTAGACAGAGCAGCCTTGTCTTACTCCTGTCTTCACTTCAAAGGCTTCATAGAGTTTTCCGTTGTGGATCACTTGTTACTGTAACAGTATCATACAGCTGTTGAATGAGATCGGTGAAGGTTTGCGACAGCCCACCCCGTACTACTGAAACAGTTTCTGAATCATAGTTATTTGAATTTGTAAATGACTGTTAAAGACCAATTAAATAGAGGTAGTAACTTCTGTGTTCTTTTCTTTTCTTATGTTTGAAATGTTGTCTTTTCTTCTAGGCTTAATCTGACACCAGCTCCACGAGATTCACCGTTCAATATTCAACCTGGTAGTAAACGCCGGCGTACTGAAGCAGACTATGATGGAGATGAATCGTCTGCCATGTTAACAGGGACAAGCTTTATGCCGTCTCGTTCAAGATTCGCTTATCGTGTGTCATGCACTACACACGGACCGTTGGAATTCTTTAAAGAACAGGATAGCCATGGAAAATGGATAAAGATACATAATACGTCGACAGATGTAAGGCTGTTGTTGTTGTTGTTGCTTTCACACTGATTTATATCATGAATAATTCCTCCAACTTTGGAGGGGGGCAGAAGTTTTTAGTTATCCTGATAGGCACCTTCTTCACTACTGCATGCATATCTTCCCTTTCACGTTTAGTTTGTAACACGTGACTTCTCATTAAGACGTTTAAAATAATCTCTATTCGCAGAGCTGTATTTCTCATAAATACTTAACACATACTGAGTTTATTCTCTGAAGAGTTACACTAATAATACTGACCACCAAAAAGAGCCCATATCAATAAAAAAGAATCCCGTTATTGTTCATTAAGATCTCCAGTAGTTTTGAATTCCAATGTCTTAAGCATGGAACTTGAGCATTGTGTTAGAGTATTAATTATTCCTTCGGAGAAATGATTTCATTTTATTAAGACGGCTTTTCATCACTTGCGTCCAATGGCATCATCGTGTGAGTAATTCTGAAGTCCAGCAGCGCGTGTTTGTACACGCTAGGGATCAGTATTGATTGAGTGTTGTCATCTGGAAACACTGGGGCCTCGGTAGCTCGGGCGGCATGTGCTACTAATGTCATCCCAGAGGCCTGAGTACCGGTCTCTGTTCGCGCTAGCCCAGGGACTGGATGGATAAAGTAGAGAAGTGGTGGTCAACTTATGATGTTGGATGAGGGATGGTTGTATGTGGTTATCATCAACGGATAAATCACGACTCAAGTTGGGTTCCTGAAGATAGTTCAAATCGGTGGCTCGAAACGTTGTCAGATATAGTCAGAAGTCGTCATCAGTGGCAAACATGCTGAAACTTCCTTCTCTCTCTTCTTCTGTAAAAGTACCATGAAGTATTGAAAGTTGAATGATCTTGACAAATATGCTTACGTGCTTTTCGGTTGACGTTCCTCATTCACTCTCTACCCACCCTCTACCTACCTACATTACATTGCATAGCATTGTAGCTCTGTTCCACTCTGTTGTGTGATTGTTATTGCTTGCAGTGTAATTGCTGAGTTTTTTTTCCTCAAAATTACGCATCTTCGTGGGGTCAATTATTCCCCATGCACTCAGCTGAATTTTCATGCCCCAATAATCTGATTGTCCATGATCTACTGGCACAAACTGTGCAAGTTGACCTTATAGTCATTGCAGGCTCCTTTCTAGATAGCATTATTTTGTCTAATTGGGCGTCACTGTGTGCTTTTATCAGTTTAATTTATTCTTTGAAGGAATTTTGCCTTCACATGACCTCTAATATGGCTGAAGGCGACAAAATAACTCTGAATAAGTGATTTCATTCTAGTTTGTTTGAGAGTAACTTACTAGTTGAGATATGCAAAAGTTCAACCCAGGTCTAGGATTGATCACCAGGTCTTCAGCAGTACAAGGCGAGCTTGTAGAGACCATTCATTCAATCAACAATGGGCTATGAATCCAAACTTCCACCAATTCGTGATATATGTATATCTACCTCAACCAGCCAGCCAGTGTCAAAGGTGAGTTAGTGTCCTCTTGCCTTGACTTGGTCGGCCCTGCTGGTTATGACTTCTGACTAGAGAACCCCAGGTAACTTGCTGTGTATAGGGCCAGTCGCTAAGTGAGCATCAGATTAATTATCCAGTGTTAGTTTGCAGAGGTTTAACTGGCTAAGGGATTGATCACCAGCTGACAGTTGCGCTAAGTGTCTATCAAAAATTGGCAAAAGCTCAAATTCATGGACCATTGGATCGGATCCCAATGGCTGAAAGGTCTACAAACTCACTTTGTAACCAGGGGGTCCTGAGTTCGAACCGTGGTGGGTGCGTGCTGATGAAGAGTTCCGAACTATTAGGAGTGGAACAGCTGTCCAGTACCCCCTGTTGGCATTCCAATGGTTCTCTAACTGATATCAGCCGATGATCTCAATCCTGTAACCAATCTAATCCCTGCAAACCAGCACTTTATAACTCCAAGTCTACTCAGGTATTTGATCATCCTGTGCCAATCTAAACTCGAATATAAAGCAATGTGTTGGTCAACTATAAACAGACAGTCATGGTTAATACTTTACCTGGCAAAGTTACGTAGAGATATAGGTTACAATGTGTCACACCATCGTCATATGAAGCAAGTTAACACGTCTGGACACGGTGAAATCAGATTGCGTCGGTGGTACAGTGGTTAGAGGACGCTCGCCGACCATGCACATGGTTCGAGGTTCGATCCCCGGCTGACGAACACCTGATATCAATAATGGTCGGCCTGTTAAATTTGAGCTACTGACATCACATACTGAAAATTCCATACTTGTACCAAAATGCTGTGTGTGTGGAATAAAGCTATAATAAAAATTATAAAAAATTAAAATAAATTGTGTGCGTCGGTGGCATAGCGGTTAGGACGCTCGCCGACCATGCACGTGGTCCAGGGTTCGATCCCCGGCCGACACACTCCTTTACCTCGCTAAGCCAGAAATAATGCTGGTAAAGAGGAAAGGTTGGGCATGAGGCTAGCAACCCCATCCTGTAAAATAAACACTGCTAGAGAAACTTCCAGCCACTAGCTTGAAGCCCTATGTTCCACTGGGGAACGTGAAGGAAAAAAATTAATTGTAGATGGTTGAAGATTGTATGAGTCATACCCGATCCCTACCAAGTGGCGTGCAAAGTTGGCTAGAAGATTTTTGCGATGAAGTCTCTGATTGGTGATTAAGTGTTTACCTGGGTCGCTTAGCGTGTGTTTGTGTGTTTCATGATTAAAATAACTCGCAACTGAGGGCTTTGGGCGTTTATTACTGAAATTCTGTTGCAATAGTGTGATTTCATTTACAGGATTACCTTCCTTTGAGTTTTAGACCTCCCTCTCTCTGTCTCTCATCTGAGGTTTGAACAACCGCCTGTTATCTCACAATCATCGATCTGTCCTATGGTCCAGTTAATAGAGGGAATGATAAATAGAATATGAGTCACTATTTTCTAGTTAACTTTTCTTATAGCCTTATAACAAAATGCCTCATTTTCTTTTTGTTTCTTTTTCCAGGAAGTAACAATGGGCAACTGGGAGCTTGTTCATGAAGCTGATGGGCATGAAACTCGTTACAAATTCTCTCGATCATTCGCTTTGAAACCGGGTGCAACATGCACAGTAAGTTCATTACCTTACCTTATGTGTGTGTGTGTGTATGTACATGTTCTAACAATCATGTCATGAAATGTTGAAACAGCTAAGAAATTTTTTAAGAACATTGAACCAAATAGGTATCAAGTTGAGTCCTTTCTAGGTAAAGACGCTGAAAAAAATGCAGAGTCTTCTGGACACCTTGAGCAGCAATTTACGAATGTTTGGTATACGATTCTCTCCTGTCAAACTCAGATAAGACGGTGCTACAAGACTGAACTACATTGACTCCTAGCTTGAAGATAAGGAGTGAAGTGGTGGAGCGTGGTGACTACTTCACTTATTTGGGGAGTTGCATCAGCCAACACCATCAGGTTGGTCGATTGCTGACGAAATATCAGCACGGATACAGAAGGTTCGTTCGGTATTTTTCAGCCAACTTTCGCAATCTGACTTAGTAGACGTGATGTTCGGCTGATTGTTGACCAAGGGCGTGTGTACTGTTCAACAGTCCGCTCCCTCCTCCCTTACAGCTGTGAGTGAGACATGGGAATTGAGAATGGAAGACATAAAAAGGCCAGCTAGCTCTGCTTGATCATAGGTGCCTGCCGTGTTAAGTGACACAAAACGGTGAGCAATATTGAGGTTATGTATCGGTCGAGTGCTAGGTAAGGAGGAGAGATCAATTAACGAGGTTGTGAAGTTCAGTCCATTGAAATGGTTAGGACATGTGTTGCGTATGCACCTAGCCCATCGCCTTCCTCGACGGGCAATGTTAGTCGCTGAAGTAGGATGGATCAGGTTGGAAAAGAGCCAGCTGTGGTCAAACCAAAGCATGGTTTCATCAGTCAATGAAATCCACAACAGTTATTTTAAGCTAGCTTTACTTACTTTTACTTTACTTCGGCTATCTCCTACGGGAGGATGAGCCGGCTTCATGAACATCTCGAATCATCGCTGCCCAGGCGCGGCGATCTGATGAAGAGAGTTCATGAAGATTCATGGGAATTTGGTACGAGTGATGTCCCCAGAATCGCTCGGCCTTTTGCTTGAGAGTGCAGCTCTAGCCTTTACACAGCTAAGTGTGACCTACAAGGCAGTAGGAGTGGAGTAGGGAGTCCACTATCCATTGGCAGCCGGTGACCGGAGTTCGGTTCATACGCCTTTTTGAATGGGGCCAGACATCGAAGGTGTAGACTTCCTGACTAGTTGTGGTCCTCGGGATAGTATAAACCAATGACTGGAGGCAATTAGTGATATGACTGGTGGAGATGCATTCACTCTTTGTGATTTATCATATCCAATAAAATTCTATTGTTCTTCCATATTAGTATTCTTTTTCCCCCACTCATACTTCTGTGTATTATCTCTCTCTTGAATCTCTCTTTACTATCTTCTCTTGCTTTGTGTGCTACATGGAGGGAGTGTGGCAACTCGAACTGCTGTACATCTACGCAAAGTTCTACGTTGAAACCAGTCAGTCCCTTCCAAAAACGCATCACTCGTCTTTTTGTTTCCACTACAACGTACTAAGGATTCTATTCGTTTAGTGTACATGGGTGCAAAGTGTGTTAGACCATAACTATAAATTCAGTGAAGTTTAAGTATAGCTATCTGGGAGTGCAGACGCATCAATGACTTTAAACGCATACCAGTCCTTGGATAACGGGATCTACTATGATTATAAACAATATGCACCAAACTGGGGTGCAAATTTCATCCCCATCTCGATTTTGAGTACTGTTTGGATAGCTTGTTAGGTTTGAGGTGTTAAATTTTTTATTATCTTCATTTTCCCAGTAAACACTCAACAGTCGTCGATCCCTTCACTGGAACCTATACTAACTAACTGAATCGAAGGCTTTTGAGAGGGACTGGAAATCAGGATAGGAATTAATCTCCAGTCACCTTGATGAATACATATATAGGAACTGGTTTAACCTAAAAACCAATAGATCCTCATTATAATTGGGAGCATATTTTTAAGTCATATCAGGGAAAACATTCTGTTTTTCTGAATGGTCGCCTCTAAGACAGTTAGTCGTGCGTTCGCATTCCATGGGTCGCTATAGTCTACTTAACTTTGCTACGATTGCTCTTCGTGGTTAAGTCTCTCTCGTCAATGATACGCAGACTGTTTGATAAAGTCGCATAACTTTCGGTTTATTAGTGTGACTTGTACTTTAGTTTTTTTACACTGGAGTGTATTTGGGAATTGCGTCCGTATAAGGATCTTAACGTCTCCCGGGTGAGGGGGGGGGTAAGTTCTGAATAATGTACACTTTTTGTGGTCGACTTTTTCTGGCTTGATGGCGGTCATCTGAGGCTTACGTCTTACTGCTTCTGGCATCCCTATTCGACAGCAGGTACGGCTTCAATCACAGACCCCCAACATAATACTTTCAGTTTGACCGCTATCCAAACGACCTACAGGAACGTGAGTTCCATCCACTGTGGCAAGGCCGACCACCATTTCACGGAGTGTGGCAAAGTTCTATGTTGAAACGTAGTCAGTCTTTTAGTTTTTCAGAAAATGAACATTCTTCAGTCCTAAGGCATTCTGAAGTGGAATAAAGATTCGACAAATCTACGCCCCTAGTTGTTGATAGGTTCTCAAAAACTATATATTTACTTGTTGTAGATAATTACATGGTTTAATCTTACTATTATGGGGACAGAGACATACTTTTATAAAAGCTGTTTGCTTGATGGTGCCTTGCAGTGGGATCCAGGGCATTCATCTCGTTGAGGAACGATTTTGAATCATGTCACTAATAGTCTCGAGTCAAACACGAGAAAACCAGGCAGGTTTTAGGCCAGGAAGAGGGTGTATTGATCATATCTTCACCCTTCGACAGATTCTAGAACATAGGCATTCCTACTGGCGTCCGACAATCACTATATTTCTTGACCTAAAGGCGGCATTCGATTCTGTTGACCGAGAGGTTCTCTGGCAATGCTTGGCTGTAAAGGGAATGCCGAGAAAATACATTGCACTGATTAAGGCACTCTACTCGTACTCATCCAGCCAGGTGAGGGCCTATGGCGAGTTGTCATCTGAAGTGGTGACGACTAGTGGTGTCCGTCAAGGATGCCCATTATCCCCATTCCTGTTCAACTTCATCATAGACGTACTAATGGACTTAACCCTAACACACTTCAGCGACTCAGGGATTGACTTGCTACCAGGGAATAATCTCGTCGACTTAGAATATGCAGACGATATAGTCCTTCTAGGCGAGGACGCTGACAAAATGCAGAGTCTATTGAACACCTTGAGCAACGATCTTCGTATGTTTGGCATGCGATTCGCCCCTGTAAAATGTAAGATGATGCTGCAGGGTTGGACTACACCGACTCCCAGGTTAGAAATAGGAAGTGAAGTGGTAGAGCACGTTGACCGCTTCACTTACTTGGGAAGTACCATCAGCCAGTGCCAACGGGTTGATCTGCGACGAAATCTCAGCACGGATACAGAGGGCTAGTTTCGCATATGCCAGTTAACGCCGTCTCTGGCGTAGACGTGACATCCGGGTGACTATCGACCAAAGGGCGTGTGTACTGCTCATCACTCCGCTCCATCCTCCTTTATGGCTGTGAGACCTGGCCATTGAGAGTGGAAGACATGAAAAGATTAGCTGCCTTTGATCATAGGTGTCTGCGTTCTATCTCCCATGTGAAGTAGTAAAATAAGGTGAGCAATATGGAGGTTAGGCATCGGTCGAGTGCTAGGTAAGGCGGGGAAATCAGTTCACGAGACTGTGAAATTACATCGACTCAGATGGTTAGGACATGTGTTACGTATGCTTAGTCATTGGTTTCCTCGACAGGCAATATTAGCTGATATAGGGCCAGGCTGGAAAAGAGCTAGCGGCGGTCAAACCAAAACTTGGTACCAGTCAATGAAATCCACAACAGTTAGTCTAAGCCACATAGGAAGGTGTAGACTTCCTGACTGGTTGGGGTCCTCGGGACGGTAAAAACCAATGGTTGGAAACAATTGGTGACATGGCTCAAAATCGTTCTCAATGGCCGATGCAGATGCATCCACTCCTTGTGACTTATGATTTCCAATGAAACTGTTTTGTTCTCCGTTATTACTATTCCTTTGTCTCACACCTCTTTACTGTCTACATTATGCATTTCTTCTACTTTCTTCTCTTGCTTTGTGTGCTACAAGGAGGGAGTGTGGCGACTTGAACTGGCGCACATATGTGCAAAGTTCTATGTCGAAAACCGACCGACCGACCGAGTCTCGAGTCTCTGGTTCGTGTTGTGTGTCAACACCTCCATACGTGGCCTAAAGTAACAATCACGGACTTCATAGACTGATGGCATTATTTTGATTGGTCTACCTCTAAGACTCTTCCAGTCTTATCCCATGTCAGGCAGCATTACTTGAAGACTCGTCCTCTGGATATATCTTCCCACTGAGACCCGAAACGTACCACCCAGAGGGTTATAAGAGTCACATCCTAAGTGAAAAGGGTTCTATAACTAGCTTGTTTTGTAATAGGTAGGTGTGTAGTGTTCACGGTTCACTCAAAGTATTGATTTCATTTAACATATTCACTTCTTGTATAATTCTTCATCCGGTTTGTTTTTATGTTGACTAGATTTGGAGTCAAGATGCTGAAGGCAGTTCACACAATCCACCAGCTGATGTGACAATGAAGAATAAGAGTTTCCATTCAGGCAATGATATTACAATATTATTGTTGGATTCAGAAAATGAAGTAAGTTATTGGAATAATAATAATAATAATAGTAATTACTGGCAAAGAAAGATGTTTTCGGTGTATCATTATTATTGAAACGCAAATTCGGTTCACTATAGGCACCAAGAGTTGCGCCACAGGAAATTCCATAGTTTGTCCAGGCGTACAGACCGAGGCAATTGGTTGTTTTAAGGGATCACACCCTCTCCGAGCCTTTGACTTGTGAAGTCTTCATCACAAGACAGTGGAGCGACGTCAGGAGCCATGTTTCTCTAGACGTTGGTGACGAAAACAAGTTCATACGCCATTCGATTCTTTCGAATTCTGGAGCCCCCATATACACTACGACCATAGGTTTAGAATTAGGGTTTTTCCAGGTCCCCTAGGTATGGGTAGACTTGTATATCCATCACCAGTATCGTTGTAAGGATCAGACATTCACATTCATCCTTTCGTTTTTGTGAGAAACACCCCTACAGAGGCTATGAACGCGTGACCGCACATGAGTGTTTCTAAAGAAAAACTGAAGTTACAGGATTTCATCATGAGCTGACATTGGTTAGAGAACCATTGGAAAACCTGGGAGTACTGGGCAGCTGTTTCGCCCTGGCTTGGGACTCGTCATCAGTACGCACCCACTGGGGTTCCAGTAGGAAGTCGTGACCAGTAGGGTGCAGCAGGTCGGATGTGAGAACAAATACTCGTCGAAGACATTGGCTAGCGGTTGCGCTATATCGTGAATTGGCAGAAGTTAGAATTCATGGGCCATTGGATCGGGTCCCAGTGGCTTAATGGTATACGAGCTCGCCTTGTAACCAGAAGGTCCTGGATTCGACCCTACTATGGTGGGTGCGTACTGATGAAGAGTCCCAAACTAGGACGAAACAGCTGTCCAGTACTCCCTGTTGGTTTTCCAATGGTTCTCTAACCAATGTCGGCTGATGATGAAATCCTGTAACCAATCAACCAAATCCCTACAAACCAATACTTGAAAAACTGAAGTCTCTACCCGCCATCAGTCGTACGAACTTTCATTGTCCTATTGTGCAGGTAACACATCCTCAGCACTCTAGCTCTTTTTCATGTGAAGTCTTTTCATTTTACCACAGAAATACGTATGCAAAGTATCATTCTACCGACAGGCATATTTACAATTACTGCTATATACCTAACTACTAGTAGTTCTTAAATATATGTGTGCATTTGAAAACTCTAAAACAAGTTCATTCATGATTTTACAGAATTTTTTCACTCATTGTTTGTTGTTTGTTTGTCTGTACACTTGCATGGTGATAAACTATAGTGTATATATCTATGGTGTATGTATTCTTATCAAGTTGTAGCAATCTATGGTTGCATTCGTTCACGTGTCTGTCTGTGTGTGTGTGCGTGGGTGGGTGGTTATTATGATTGAATTCCAATCTCAATATCGTTGCCTTTGTCTTCTACCTTTGTTAGACTTAAGTTCATTAGGTCAGAGAATATCATTGTGTGCTGTTTTATTCTCTCTCTATCTCCCCCTCTCCCTCTCTCTCTCTCTCAGTTCTTTCAATTTCTGATGTATTCTGACTCTAAAAACAATCTGCCTTGGCAACAAATACCAGAGTAATTTATGCATAGATATGAAATTGTCGTCTGTGCGTATATATATATATATATATATATATATATACGTCAACATTTCCAGAATAGAGTAAACCGGGGTTATGCTAACATTTGTTCACAATATATTCAGATTAGTGCATTAACGCTGAGGGAGCCTTAACCTTGTTCACATCACACGCTAGACTGTGCAAAAGAGGGGTAAGTGTGGCTCATAGCCCTCTCTCTCTCTCTGCAGCCTAACTGAGTAACTAACCGGATTGTCTTGATGCTGGACGGTTGGTGGAAGCAGTCGGTTACTTTCTAGTTATGGCCAATTCATTTAGCTATCACAGTCATACAGGAAGTCAATTGTGAGCCTAAATAGCCCAATGATGGTAGGTAAGGTCTCTGACTAGAGCACTCACTAGCTGACTGACCCGAGTTCGTTCAAATCTCAGAAGAGACCTGAGTTTCATCCAGGATTTCGGATGCGTCTTGCTGTGACTAGTGAGTGCCAAAAATAACATGAAACCTATATACAAGGTTTCCTGTCAAGCGACTCCAACTATCTAACATCGATACAGAGTTACACTGTGATGGTGAACCACCTAGTTATGATGATTGATCACATTGGAGATTTGAGTGTGATAGGATCCAGTTGGCAGCAGACAGGGAGTCATGGCATTAGTTACGAAGAGTGGTGTCCAATGTCCGGTGGACTATAAATGAGAGTCGATGAGTTACGCATCCAACAGTGTGATATGGAAAAGATCATATTGTAAAGGAGACTTGAAAGCTTGTGGATAGTTGTGGTGCAGTCAGCTGAGAACAGAGTACAATAAGGATATGTCACTGACGCTGTATGTTTCACACAAATCGCAAAGAATGAATGACAATAATAATAGTATAGTAATTAGACCATTTACTAGTAGTTAACAAGTATTGGGTTACAGATTTGAGATCGCCAGCTGACATCAGTTAGCGAACCATTGGAAAAGCAACAGGTATTGCTGGACAGCAGCTGCTTCGTTTTATTTTGGCATTAGTAGTTCAAATGTCTGTGACTACCATAGTTCATAAACTCTCTTTTTTCCTTCACGTTCCCATTAGAACATAGGGCTTCAAGCTTAGAGGCTTGAAGTTTCTGTAGCAGTCAAGTGTTAATTTTTACGGGATAGAGTTGCTAGCCCCATATCCAAATTTCCCTCTTTACCTTTTTTATTACTGGCTTAGGGAGGTAAAGAAGTGCGTCGGTGGCTGGGAATCGAACTTCAGACCACATGCGTGGCAGGCAAGCATTCTAAAGCTGTGCCACCGACGCACACAAATTCCTTAACAGATTAGAATTAATGAAAAAAAATAAAAAGGAAACTACCGGTGTGTGTTTTCTAATTTGTGAAATGTTTCTAGCTTCTGACATTCTGTTGTAAGCATGTCTCTTTGAAGGGTTTAACAATAAAGCCTATTATTATTATTGTTTCCTTTAATTCCTAGAGGAACATAGGGTTTCAGCCGTGCATCTTCATTGCGTTCCGTTTTCTGCTGTAGTCTTCACCTGGCTCCATGTCTGCCCACACGTTTTCATCTCCTCTCCACATCACCTCCTCCAAGTCACCCTTGCACTGACGACCAACTCCCCGCTTCCCTTTCGGGTTCCACTCGAGCAATGGCCTGTCTAGTGATGTCACTTGATGCATTGTTTCCTCAGAGTATGGCCAGCCAATCCACCTAACTCCATTTCTTCCTGCCTATTTGTTTCACAATCGGTTCCTGCTGTGTTGGTTCGCTCAATGCCAGAGATCTCTGTTGCTGATCTTTTCTGGCCAGCCATCTGATCTTGAGTATTGAGTACTGAGCAAAGACAACTGTTGATGAATGTCTGTAGTTTGTTTGAGATGCTCTTTATGACGCGCTGGCCAAGTCTCTGATCCGTATAGTGAATAGCATTGACTTCACATTGGAGTTGAAAATCCGGATCATATTTTCATTTTTATGCTGAGTGCTGTTGACCTTTACACAGATTTGGGAGTAGTGAAAGTTTGTCTTGCTTTTCCGATTCTTGCTTTGATATCCTCGTCAGTTCCGTCCGCCTGTAGTTGAAACGATGCTTCCCAGGTAGGTAGGTAGGTAAAGAAGGTTGTTTCTTTCAGGTTGCTTCCATTTATGCTGATTGTTGTCTGTTGTTGTTGTTGCTGTTGGTGGTGGTCAATAAAACCTATGTTGACAGTTTATTGTGCATTTTCCCTTCCTTATAAGCATCTCATATCAAATAACCGTGCCACAATCTTGTGGCTGCATCGCACACCCGATCAATAAACATAGATGATCACAGAACTAGTACACACCTCAAGATCTCAATAGTTGGAGGCATTGTGGTATTACAAGCGTTTTGACTCTAGCTGTTCAGGTTCACACATACATAAAAGTTGAAGATTCGTCTAACACAAAATAATTGAGCCAGCAAAGAATATCCTTTTCGATAAATTCCTCCTCTTCTGGCTCTACAATTATTTATGCATGTTTATATACATAGACTATTCTAGAATAGTAGTCAATAATAATATTAGTGCTTTTTAAATAGTATCGATTTGTGAAGTAAGATCACAATGGAATTACAGTTCATTAAAGATGCTTAGATAATAATAATAATAATATAGTAGCAAATAGAATATCAAGTAAAATTAGGAAAATTCCACAAACATTGAGGATCATTCAAACCTAGATGGCCAAGCTGGTAAGGATAATGTCTGAACTAACTTCTTTTGGATGCACAAATTAGGCTTGTTAATATGGATCCCAACGGCCAGCCTCAGCAATAGTTAGTAGTCGGACTCTTAAGGCAAAATTGAGATTCGTTGGTATGCGGTAATAATAATAATAATAATAATAATAATAATAATAATAATAATAAGGGTGTATTATTAACAGTCAAAGGCCATCTCAAGGGGCCACATAGAAAGTGCTTTGTGTGTTTGTACCCTGAACAGCGGAGGTGGATCCGGATTCATCACAAGATTATGTCATCACTTGTACTTTTCAATATGTTTACTACACTTCAATCGTGTTTTTGTTATATTATTATCATTGTTCCCTTGGGTTCCTAGTGGAACATAGGACATCAACTGCACATCTCCACTTGATTCTGTCTTCTGCTGTACTTTTCACTTGCATCCATGTTAATCCATACTGTTTCAACTCTTCTTCACACGATCTCCTCCATGTCACCCTTGCAATAATGTCCAACTCGCCGATTCCCTTTTGGGGTTCCACTCGAGCACTGGCCTGACGCGCGATGTCACCCAGTGGCCTCCTCAGCGAGTGTCCAATCCATCTCCACTTTCTCCTGCATATTTGTTGAGCGATTGGTTCTTGTTTTGTTTGTTTGTTCCCATAGTTTCTTGTTGATGATTCTTTCCGCCCATCTCATCTTCAGTATAGAGCGAAGACAGTTAGTTGTTGATGAAGGTCTGCAACAGGCTGTTGGAAATATTCTTTGTGACCCGCCGCCAAGTTTCTGATCCGTATAGAAGAACTGACTGAATTGACGTTTGTATTTTTGTAATGCTTTAAAATTAGATGTGAACTCTTTTAATCGATTATTTTTGGGATAATTAAAAAAAATTAATAAAACTTGTTACTGTTCTTTTGTCCTAGGAACAAGCTAAATGCACTGTGAAACGTGAAAGAATACGTTCAGCAGGTGTTGGTGGTCGTAAAGGTGGTATGCGTGGACACGATGAGGTTTGTATTGTTGTTGTGATTGTTATTATTGTTGTTCGCATTTTACATTCTATGGGAAATAATATTATGTTTGAGTTGAACTCATTTCATAAAACAGGTGGTTCGTTCATATTGACTAAGCCAGGCCAGGCCAGGCTTTCAACTACCAATTGAATGGTGAAAAATTATATTTGTAAAATCCCAGCGAGATTGAAATGAGTAACTCCAACGTTTCGTTCGGCAATCTGGTCCGAACTTCTTCAGGGAAATTAATCAAAATTAACATAACAGCGGTTTATATATAAAAGGAACATCACTTGCTTTTAAAAAAGCACCTCAATCTTCAGAAAGAAGGCAAAGCAATAAGTTCGACAGGGTGCTTCTACTAAACTCTAATCCTAAACACCATGATTTTGAAAATACGTCTAATCATAAAATTCTAGATACTAGCAGTTTGAACAGACATGAAGGCGAGATGTTAGCTGATGCATAGGAAATCCTGATTAATAAATAAAAATGGATATGTATCACTAATTAATAATACTTGGTCAAAATTCTCGACTGTCCATATCTTCTTATGGAGACGTTAAGAAATGTTTTACAACTGTTTACCCACACACATACACACTCTGTTTAAAGTGTTTAACAAAGGTAGACCAATATTTGTAAGTCCGAGGTCAAATTTTGATCACAGCTCATACAATTTTGTTTATTATACTTGATAATACTTGTGTTTATGAATCATGATTGGACAAAGTTTTTAAAAACAAAAGATGTGCCTTTTATATATAAACCTCTGTTATGTTAATTTTGATTAATTTCCCTGAAGAAGTTCGGACCAGATTGCCGAACGAAACGTTGGAATTACTTATTTCAATTTCGCTGAGATTTTACAAATATAATTTTATAAATGTCTACTTCTCACTCAGCGCTCAATTATTTTGCAACTATCCGGTCAAATCTTGATCACAGTTCATATGAAATACATTATTCATTGTAAACTTCATTAAATTGTGAACTGGGGGACATAATAAGCTCAGTATAATAAATCACAAAAGGCTGACACATAATAAAGGCAATTAATGATGGAGTAAAGGGAACTAACTACTAGTGGGTGAAAAGGATAAAGAAAGGTACAGTGTGTGGCATGAAAATATGGATGATTATGTCCTTCCCTGACCTTATAGAAGAGAGTAGACCAGGGTGAACAAAGAGGATGAATGTGTTTCTTTTGCACGCACACATACACACAGGTCAGGTTTCTTCTTATTACATACATCTGCTATAGCTTAGAGAGACGTGATCGTGTGCATGTGTAGTAGGCAGATTGTTTGATGTACATCCGTCAATGACTCATCTATGTGTATGTAAAAAAGACACATCTTGCCTTTAAAAAAATTTGTCCAGTTATATGAGTCACACAAAACAGGCATCAGACCTCAGACTTATTATTATTATTATCGTTATTAGTCTACTTTTGTTGTTAAATACTGTGAACAGGGTGTACTTTTGCATTAGATAATTTTAGTGATTACATTTGACTAAAGTTCATGATCGTAGATAACTGAACATGAAAATATATATTTGTGTATTATTGCAGTATACAATGGTGTGCGTGTGTGTGTTTATGTGTGCATAACGGAACAATTGTAAATCTCATTTGATAGCCTCTCCATCACAACAAGATGTAGACATGTGGAGGATTTCATCGTGAGCTGACATCAGTTAGACAACCACTGAAAAACCTGGGAATACTGGACAACTGTTTCGTCCTAGTTTCGGACTCTCCATCAGTACGCACCCACCGGAATTCGAACCTAGGACCTTCTGGTTACAAGGCCAGTGAGCTCGTAGACCATTGAGCCACTTGAACCCGATCCAATGGCCCACGCATTGTAACTGATGTCAGCTCTTGATGAAATCCTCCATGCAATGAAACAAAATCCATACAAAACCATTACTTGAAGATGTAGACAATCGGGAATTTAGATCAAGTATGCTAGATTATAGTGATACATATCCATTTTTTTATATTTATGAATCAGGATTTGCCATACATCATCAGCTAACACACATCACGACTGTTCAAGATTTTGGGATTCACCCATATAATACGTAGGTCCTTTGCAGTCAGTCTTTCTTTAACCAATCAAAACCTTTCTGTAGAACCTTAGTCTCATCCAAGTCGATTATGTGTCCCGTTTATCTATCGAGTGCAGTGCAATCGCCCATCTGTTATCTAGCTTCTTCAAATTTTGTTCATGAACTGTAGTCGAACGTGTAATCAATAGAAATCTGATGCAAAAGTATACACCGTTTACTGTGTGTAAAAAAAATAAATTATAAAGCTTGGTTATTTTAATTTTGATTAATATCCCTGAAGTTGTGACTAGAATGCCTACCGAACTCAGGAAACGATGGAATCGCTCACATTACAATTTCTCTGACATTTCGTATTCTTACTCTCCACTGCATGATTTGGGAACTACTATTTGGTCAAATATTGATCACCGTGTGTACTGCTATCAACAGTCCGCTCCATCCTCCTTTATGACTGTCAGTGAGACATGGCTATTGAGAGTGGAAGACATGAAAAGGTCAGCTAGCTAACTGTATTTGATCATAGGTGTCTGCGTTCTATCTCCCGTGCAATTTTGAGGTCAGGCGTCGGTCGAGTGCTAGGTAAGGAGGGAAGGGGAATCAATCGACAAGGCTGTGAAGTTACTTTGACTGAGATGAGTAGGATATGTGTTACGCATGCTGTATGTCTAACCATCGCCTTCGTTGACTGACGGGTAATGTTCGCCGACATAGGATAGATCAGGTTGGAAAAGATCTAGCACGTGTAGGTCAAACCAAAACATGGCTTCTTCAGTCAATAAAATCCACAACAGTCAGTTTTAGCCAGCGAGTCACGTAGGAAGGTGTAGACTTGTCGGCTGGTTGTGGACCTAGGGATACTATAAACCAATAATGGCAGCTGGGAACAATCGGCAATTTGGCTGGCTCAAAATCGTTCTCAATGCCTGGTGCAGATGCATCCACTCCTTGTGACTTATATAATACCCGATAAAACTATATGGTTCTTCGATATTATTTTTCTTCTTGCCTCATATCTGTGTTTACTGTCTCTATTTTGCATTTCTTTTTACTTTATCCTCTTACTTTGTGTGCTACATGGGGGGAGTGTGGCAACTCGAACTGCTCTATATCGGTGCAAAGGTCTATGTTGAGACCAGTCAGTCATATTTCCTTACAGTCTATAATTTCTTTTTGTTAAGTTAGTATGCGGGTCAACATAGTCAGTTTTTAGTAACATTGACCTTATTTCATCACACCTGAAAATGGTCTTAGTTTTCTACAGGCGACACATCTCTCTGATGCCCTGCCCTTTTTCTTTAGATTGTTATAATAGAAAAATTCTTTTCAATGCATAGTTAATCTAGCTAGGTAGGCTGAGAAGGTGCTATTTGATGGGCTTGTATTGATTATAGTTGAGAAATTGACACCAGATAGATCAATTTTCAACTTAGAGGATGCTACATGTTTTCAATGCACACAATGTTTATATGATAAGGAGCCTAGTGATTAACAACAACATAAGACTGTGTTTATACAGGCCATATATTTATATTGATAATCAATCACCCCACCCCCCGCCGAAGATGACCTTATTCCTCTTGTATTTTCATGTCTACTGATATTGTGTCTGTTTTCATATGAGATTGCCACTTGATCGATCGTGTGGTATCAAGTGGATCACATGTACTTAAGTGCTTTTGGCTTCCAAAGTCGAGTAGCGACCACCTGGTGTGATGGTGATTTGTCACCTGGGCCTGTCTGTGTCATTTGAAAATTGACGGATTCATGTGTGTGTGTATGCGTGTGTGTAAAATCACGATCACTTAACCTGCAGGATACATTTATGTGATTGATGCCCCCAATTGATGTAGACATTTGACTTTTGTATGTAATGGGTTGTTGTAGTTCACTCTGAGTCATGTTATTATTATACTGCCATTAATAAATAGTCTGATAGGCGAAGTTGTACTAGGCTTTTGAGTTATAGTTGTTATAGTCAAGGTAGGTTAGCACTCACTGACTGACCGACTGAGTTTCAATATGCAACTTTGCAAAGATGTGCAGCAGTTCCATAAGTTGCCACACCTCACCATGTAGCACACAGATAATAAAGAGAAAGAGCAGTAACATGGGGGAAAAACATGACAGTTGAGTGGGAGGCGTGCACCTGTGCCACTGAGAACAATTTTCAGCCATGTCTCCGATAGTCTGCAGCCATTAATCGTTAGCATCTCTCGAGGACCTCAATCAAGCAGCCTACACCTTTCTATACGACTCAAACTAACCGTCGGAGACTTCATAGATTGATGCCGAGTTTTGGTTTCACCCCTATTAACTCTTTTCCAACATGTATCAGCTAACATTGCATTTCAAGGAAGGCGATGAGTCGGGATGCGCAATAGTGTCTGAATTGATATATACCTGTTCGACTGTCTTACACACTGCTTGTCTGACACTATGCCTAGCCTCAATATTACCATAATTCTATCATTTAAGGCGGGAGATAGAATGCAAACACCTATTATCAAAGACATCTAGCCTTGAGAAGAGGGAGGACGGAACGAACTGCAGTGCAGAACACACGTCCGTCGATAGTCAGCCGAACATATCATGTCTATACCAGAGGAGGGCATAATTTAACAAAGGCCATATGAGCCTTTTGCATCTGTACTAAGTTTTTTGTCGCCAATTAGTATTTTAAGGTTGATGTAGAAAAGTGAACTGGTCAATACGCTAAATACTACGTCACTCTCCATCTCAAAAATGAGTAGTCGGTCCAATCCAGTCCTATAGTATCATCTTACATACAGGATACGAGCGAAACACATCCCAAGTATACTAGGATTTCTGCTTATGGTGTTCAAGGAACTGCATTTTGTTAGGTTCTTTACCTGAGAATACTCTTTTCCTTGACAACATACGAATCCTTAAGTCGCTGAATTCAGTTAGGGGTAACTCCCAATAGTACATATATGATAAAATTAAGTAAAAATGGTGACAGTGGACATCCCTTACAGACAGTGTTAGTTGTCATCTTTTCAGATGACAACTGTTCATAAAGCCCTCTTTAGCTAACTGATTAGTGCGGATTGGCTTTAAGTGCACGCGACTTAATATCACTGTGTCCCGGGTTCAAGTCATGTCCTGTTCACCTCAACCTGTAGAACCAATTATTATCGACTGTCTTTACCCAATATATATATATATATATATATATATCATAAAATTGGTTAATATTATTATTTATTTTATTTCTTTACGTCACCAGTGGCACATAAGGCTTCAAGCCTAGAGCTTTGAAGTTTCGGTAGCAATGGTGTTTTGAATTTTTATAGGGTGAGGTTCTCCTGGCTTCATGCTCGACCTCCCCTCTTTACTGATCTTATTACCGGCTTAGCTGACTGACTAGTTTCAACGTAGAACTTTGCACCGATATGCAGCAGTTTGAGCCGCCACACTCCTTCCATGTAGCACACAAAACAAGAGAGGAAGAAAGTAAAAAGAAATGCAAAATAGAGACAGTAAACAGAGATATGGGGCAAGAAGAATAGTAATATCGAAGAACCATATAGTTTTATCGGGTATTATATAAGTCACAAGGAGTGAATGCATCTGCACTGTCATTGAGAAAGAGGGTTTTAAGCCAGCCATATCAACAATTGCCTCCAACCTTCATTGGTGTTTACCATCCCGAGGATCACAACCAGTCAGGAAGTCTAAACCTTCTTACGTGACTCGCTGGCTAAAACTACCCTTTGTGGATTTCATTGACTGATGAAGCCATGTTTTGGTTTGACCACCACGTTATAGCTCTTTTCCAACTTGATCTATCCTGTGTCAGCTAACATTGGCGATAGTTAGGGATGAATGCGTAACACGTGTCCTAACCATTTCAGTCGAAGTAACTACACAGTCTCGTTTATTGATTTCCACTAGTTATCTAGCACTCGACCGATGCCTGACCTCAATATTGCTAACCCTAATATACCTAACACTTCACATGGGAGATAGAACGCATTTATCTATGATCAAAGACAGCCAGCTAGCTGGCCTTTTCATGTCTTCCACTTTCAATGGTCATGTCTCACTCACAGCTGTAAAGGAGGACGGAGCGGACTGTTGAACAGTATACACACCCTTTGGTCGACAGCCAGTCGGATATCACGTCTACACAAGAGACGGTGTACACTGGTATGTGCGAAACGAGCCTTCTGTATCCGTGCTGAAATTTCTTCAGCAGTCAAACCTGTTGGCTCTGTCTGATGCCACTTCCGTCGATCAGAAATCGAATCCCAGACCACGTGTGTTGTGGTTGGCGAGCATTCTACTGCTAAGCCGCCACCAACACGCACGATACATAACTTAGCCTTTTCTATGTATTTTGTCAAGAAATCAACTATTCTGTATCGCTGCAAAATATTTTTTTTTCAAATTTGTTATAAAACTGTTTCTTTCATACTCTACTATTGTGTTTTCTTTTTTTTGTTTATTTTTGTACAGAAGTGTCATCTGATGTAATGGTGTGGAAAGAAGAAGCTGTTGGTGGTGTAGATGATGTATTGTGACTTTTTTTGGCATTATATCATCGATAAACAATTTGTGTGTGTGTTTGTGTGTAATGTGCATTTGTTTTTCTCTCTCTCTCTCTTTCTTCAAAAACAAACAATAAATGTCCCGCCCCCCCGTTTTGTTACCATGCCAACGAACTGAATAATACTGAAGAAAAACGATGTGACAACAACAGATGACATTTTGCTGTCTTTTGCTACTTCTTCTTTGTAATACATTTGCAGATCTGTTGAAAAACGTGTATCTGTACGTGTCTTTAGTGTATGTAATTTCTCTTCTTGACCCGAGTGAGACAATTGAATGATCATTAACCTCGACAAGAACACCTTCTGTCTCTTTTGTGTGTGTGTGTACGTTTGTGCTGTGTACGCTGGTGAAGTCAAAGAAGAAGAAGAAGAGGGACAAAGGTGTGACGTGTGTAATACCTCGTCGTCGTCATTAGCGTCATCATACTTGCACCAATATTCACCAATATGTTTCTTACTATTTTTGGTATCACAGTTGCGCCCAATTGATCTGGTCTCATTATTTAATTAGCATGCTAAAATTATATTTTTTCTAATCTATTATAGATGCACCTTTACCCGTGTTCTCATCTGCCGTTGTGGTTGTTGTTTGTCATTTTTATATGACTACTCTTCAGCTAGCTTACTCGCTTACTTACTTACTTATTTGCTTACTTACCTCTACGAGTCATTATATTGCCCATTTTTTTTTGTAGCTTCTGCTTTATATAACGCGCTATTTGTGTGTGTTTCTTTGTTATTATGGTTAGTTGTCATTTGTTGTTCTCTTCTGTTCATCGCATATATATGCATACATATGACTTACACGGCTCTCTGCACAGCTTTAAGCATCATAAAGGTAATTATCGAATTCATAACCGATTTTTATTACTATTACTATTGTTAACATTGTTCGTATCCATCTATCTACCTGTCTGTCTATCTATTGAAATAGGTATTTTTCTAAATATAAATATACATGTATATTCATCATAAGTGTACACTCCTCTCATACATTCATACTAATTATAAAGTTCTTAAAACAAAAAGTCAACTGTTGTTCCAAAATTGTTCCTTTCTTGATAAATGTTAGTGTGTGTGTGTGCAGGGGGAGGGGGAGCGGGTTCTAGTCACTATCAGTTATGGCTGCTCAGCAGTTCACTCCGTCCTTCTCTATGGCTCTGAAACATGGCCGATACGAGTTGAAGACATGAAAAGGTTGACTGTTTTCGATCATAGATGTCTGTGACCTCTTTCTCACGTTAGGTGGCATGATAAGGTAAGTAATGTTGATGTAAGGCGTAGAGTGTTGGGCAAAGACGGAAAATCAATCGAATAGGCTATAAAGTTACATAGATTGAGATGGCTGGGTCACGTGCTGCGCATGCCTAACCATCGCCCCCCCCCGACAGGCATTACTAGCTGATATAAGTGGTGTAGGTTGGAAAAGAGTAAGTGGTGTCCAAGCCAAACAAAACATGGCATCAATCAATCCCTGACAGACTGAGTCAGGTAGGGAGATGCAGACTTCCGGGTTGGGGCCCACCCTCGGGACTCTAAGAATCAATGGCTGGAGATAATAGGTGACATGGCTCGAAGTTGTTGTCAATGGCTTACACAGATGTATTCAGTCTCCGTAATCTTTCATATTCCTTTCTACCACTACTCATTCTGTTTCACTCTTATACTTGTCAAAAGTCTATTGATTCTCTTCACTCATTTTCTTGTCTACCTTTGTGTGCTATTTGGAAGGTGGCAACTGGAACTGCTGCACTTCGGTGCCAAGTTCTATATTGAATCCAGATAGACAGATGGCTGACATCTCATTTAGAGAAGTATTAAGAAAACTGACAGCGGTGGAGTGTAATGACAGAAGACAAGGGCCAGGTATCAGATATTTATAGATTTTTATGTACAGCATTATTAGCGTTATTGTTAGCATTTGAGCGGTCTTCTGATTAGTTGTCTTCTTGTTGAAGGTTATTCTGTCATCTCTTTGTGGCCGTTTCTCAGAAAGTTAGGCCATTTATCTGTGAATCGTGTTTGCACATGTTAAGTCTTCTGTGATTGGCTGTTGAGTACCTCAAGGTTAAGCTTTGTTATTGTTTTTTCTCATGACCCCGATTTTGGAGACGTAGACATTGTCGTAGATTGTTGTCTACAATTGTGGCTAGCAGATAATTCTCACCACAGGGGTATTGAACAGTTGTTTCGTCTTACTAGTTGGAAGGAACTCTTCTGGGTAGTGTAGGCATCTACCCAGGTTTCAAACACAGGATCTTCTGTGGTTACACAACGAGCTGTTCAGCTACTGGGAATCGGTGTAATGATCTTATGAATTCCAAGTTGTGGTGATTCGCTATGGCCAACAAGTCAATGTCATTGACGTGTAGGTGTTCTCTTAATGATGAAGAGTCCCAACCTAGGACGAAACAGCTGTTCAGTACTATCGGGTTTTTTAATGGTTCTCTAACTGAATGATTGTTTTACCTTGAAAAGCGGGTTGAATTGATTTTTATATCTATTATTACAACACAAACTTGGTACATTGTATGTGGGCATCAAGAAATGCGCCACACAAAACCTCAGTGGTTGTACGAGAGCCACGATACTAACTGGAAGCATAGAAGCAGCAGGTGGCTGTCTTAGAAAGCCACTCTTCAAATTTTTCAAACTTGTAGTTGCAGGTGACTACAACTGGTTAATACGCCAGTCTTTTCTTTCCGAATCTAAATCTCATGTACACCATGGGTGTTTTGGAATCAGCGGTTTCTAGCACCGGTATTTTCACCAGTTCATTCACCCTTTCATTTTAATGACAATCACTGTCGGCATGTTAGAATACTGTCTTCTTCGTAGGCTAACCTGAACTTCCTTTTAATTGGTCTATATATCGAGTTGAAATTCTCGGTCTCGTTGGTATGTTGGTTCCATCGCTAGCCTCTACCAATCAAGAAAGTGACATCCTGTTTGAGGTATTGTCTGCATTCAGGTTAATGGGCTATTAAGTATTATTTTTCGATGAATGCAAGAGACGGTAGAACTGATTGTCATTGCTTATTTCTGAGGTAATGTCTCTCATCACTTATACACTTCACAATGGAATATGTACTCATGAAGTAGTTGTATATTGATAAAAATGACGGACGCCTTGTTTAACTGTTGAATTTTTTAAGAAGATATGTAGTTCTCTCTGCTGGTCTGGACCGTTTAATTCCGAAGTTTTCGTTGCCTCTTGGTATAACATCTTCAGGGTTAAGGTGAATGATTGTTTCCTTGAGTTCTCCTAATGAACTTAATTGCGACCATATTAATATGTGTGTAAAACTTGGGCATTGTGGTAGTAAGTAATTCCATATTAGTTTGTTTATTATATGTATCACGCAGTGAAGAAACAGTATTATTTACTGGATGACGTTTCGAACAAAATTTATTGTTCATAATCATATCATCAATTATCATTACACGACTTTGAAACTTGTGTTTCATAGATTTCTTTGTCATCTCCTATTTGTCGTTGTTGGGGTAGTAAACTTTTCCAGGTATCTAGGACAGGTGTTGAGTCATTCCTAATGCATATATTTGCAGTTGATTCGATAAACAAAGCTTCTGTTATCAATCTCTCTCTGCACCCTGCCGCTACATTAGATTTTAAAACTGTCATCCTATCCCATCCTATTGTATGGTTGTGTGTAACTGCATGTAGTGCTTGCGGTACCTGAACTATTCTCTAGATTTCTTATCTTATTCGGGTCAAACAATCTAGATTTTGCTAGGTTTTTATGTTTGGCTAGTCTGACTACCCCTGTTTACCTAATACCCTGCAATGATTGTCAGGTCAAACTAGTAGAACGGGGTTAGTCAGTCAGACTGGCGGAGCATAAAAACCTAGGAAAATCTAGGTTGGTTGACCCGAATAAAATAAGAAATCTAGAGAATAGTTCAGACGTAGGTAGCACTACGTACAATTACACAACCATACAATAGGATGGGATAGGATGACAGTTTTAAAATCTAATGTTACGGCAGGGTGCAGTCAGAGATTGATAACAGAAGCTTTGTTTATCGAATCAACTGAGAAGAATGATTCAACACCTATCCACTTGGATATCTGGAAAATTCTTCTACCCATAAGACAAATAGGAGAGAACAAAGAAAACTATAAAACTCAAGTTTCAAAGTCGTGTAATTATAATTGATATGATTATGAACAATATTAAATTGTGCTCGAAACACTGTCATCCAGTAAATAATGCTGTTACACTCACTGTGTGATACATCTAATAAACAAACTAATATGAAATTTATTGCGACCAATTACTTCCAGAGATTTCCTCATCCTTATAAATAATTGTGAAAGCCTTCTTGAGATTGAAGTCTGAAGGTTGTATACATTTGATTGATTTGAGTAGAAACTACAGCATGAATCGATAAGTGTAGCGCTATATAGCGACCTCACAGAAGTACAGATTCACAAGAATTTGTGTTTCAACTCTCCTAATGGTATCTTGACCGGGTGATCCTGCATTCGATGCCTGGTGATTGATGAATGCCTTACTACAGATGAGTTTCAAATAGAAACTATTGTGGTGAGAGCTGTCTGCAAGCCGAAATTGTAGACAACAATTTACGTCAACATTCACGTCCCAAAATTGGGGTCATGAGAAAAAGCAATGACAAAGTTCAACCTTGACGAACTCAACAACCAATCACAGAAGACTTAACGTGTGCAAATACTATTCGTAGATATATGGCCTGACTTTCTAAGAAACGGACACAAAGAGGTGACAGAATAACCTTCATCAAGAAGACGTTGCTTCTCTGCTAACAATAACGAATAATAATGTACATAAAAATCTATAAATATCTGTTGATTTTCTCAATAAACGATGTGTTGCCTGGCCCTTGTATTCTGCCGTTATACTATAATGAGTAGGAATATGAGAGAATGAAAATGGAAAAAAGATGAGGAATCAGAGTCAGAATGCACTGCTTCAATCGATAACGATTTTGAACCAAAGCACCACTTGTCTTCAGCTATTGGTTCTTAACATCCCGAGGTCCTCAATTTGAAGGTCTACATTTTCTTACGTGTCTCAAAGTAGTTGTGAAAGAATTCATAGATTGATGCTTGGGTTTGGCGTTCCCATCACTGACTCCTTTCCATGAAGAAGGCAGTGACTTGTTATACGCACCACTTGTCGCAGCCACCTTAATCGATGTAGCTTCACAACGTCAGTCTAGGACGATACGACTGTCCGGTGGTCAGGTTACTGACGACATCTACCCTAGAAGTAGAAATGTTTTTTTTTATTGTGATAAGAGTTACACGAATTCATAGGATGATTTCATCTAGTAGTTACAGATGGTTCTCTCCAATTAACTATTTAGACAATCGATCGCAATGTTAACAGCTTAGCAATGAGTTCTGTATATGGCTGTGACAGGTCATGCGTTGCGTATATTGAGCCACCGAATTTATTAATAAACACTGTTAATAAGTGTAATCCTTTTATTGGTTGTAAGATTTCATCATGAGCTGAAATCGGTTAGAGAACTATTACTAGAGTACTGGACGGCTGTTTCTCCAAACTACTTTGGACCTGGTTCTTCAGCAGTATGCACACATCGGGGTTCGAATCCAGGACGTTCTGGTTACAAGGCGAGCTGGCTCGTAGACCATTCATCAGCTACTGGGATCTGATTCAATCACCACCCTTGAATTCTAACTTTTGCCAATTCACGGACATAGTGCGACCACTTTGCAATGTCTTCTTCGATGGGTAACTGTCCTAATCTTCAGTCTGCTGTACCCGACTGGTCACGGCTTCCCACTAGGATCCCAGGTTAACTGTCTGAATAGGACCAGTCACTCTCTATTACGCATCAGATCAATTTTCAAGTATTGGTTTGTAGGGGGGTTTGTTTGATTGGTTGGAGGATTTCAAGTTTTTCAATGATTCCCTAACCGAAGTCAGCTCATGATGAAATCCTCCAACCAATCAAACAAACCCCACCTACAAACCAATATTTGAAAATGTGTAATCCTTTCAGTTTGGAAGGCGTA